CGCTGCCGTGTTCACAGATGGGCTCATTGTAGATTCTTCTGAACTAGATGAGATTATATTATGACAACTTTATTTGTGGTTTTTTGCTTTTATTCCAAAAACAGAAAAGAACAAAGAAAAACCTACTAAAGTACAATACTTGTTAGTATTCAAATCATTTTATTGTTGGTCTTTGCATGTCAATTATTGACGAGAATAAAATATAGTTCATCAGCAGATATATCCTTGAAACAGGATAGAGGAGGAGTTCATTTGAACAATACACAGTCCAAATTCAAACTGACATTTAAATAGTCTGAAAAAATACAGCAGGACGGGCCCTCACATCTTTTTCATCCAATAGGTCCTCCACCAAAAGGACAAGCAATCTATGAGTTCATCCATGAGAACATCTCTGCAAATGGCAGTGCTGAAGAAACACAGAATATGCTAGAATATCCCAAAAAATATGATGTACAGTATCAACACTAAGCCAGGCCGATTGCATTGATATGTGAAATTTACATTTGATATAATAATATGCAATGTCAAGACCATTTAAATGATAGTTTTAAATCCCGTTTGATACAGTAAGGAACATTCAATTGTCCTTGTTATTATGTAGATCTATCTAGTCTGCATCCTAATTAAGACTCAACTTTAATACATGCTTTCATCTATATGCACAAACATGTAGGACAATGCCACTCAATATGCAATATGGTGGAGTTATTGATTATTATTTACAACAACTGTGTGATGACATTAGATTTCAGCATTGGAGACCACAAAGCAAGAAATGTCTCTCCCCGGTGGGAGGACTCGGCAGTGCAGCTGGGATTTCTCATCTGAGAATAACTGGAGCAAGAACAAAATGATCCTTTCTCTCACGCAAGTACACATCTGAACCCCGACACTGACATGCAGAATGGAGCATGCACATGATCTCCATTGCCCCCAGACACACTGACAAATCAGCTGTCATGTGCGCCCTTCAGATACACTTGGCCTCCATGTCGTAGAGTTGCAGAAGGTCAGAGATCACAGCATCGATGTCTGCTTTGGTCACGTCCACACACAGCACCTGAACACACACACAAACACACACTTCAGCTCCACACCTGGCCTCATTAAACATCAAAGCTCCACACAGCGTTCAGAGCGACCTACATTTCACCGCCTTGAGGACGTAAGTGGGAAACCGTAACGAATCTTAACATTTTCTATTTGCATTTGGATATAATGTCTCTTAAAATCAAAGCTCTTACACGGAGACCTCATTTGTAAAAACTGTTTGACAATGGAAAACTAAAATTGCCACCACCCTTCACTTAATACTAAAGAGGCCCCTGTACTTTGAAGACAGCTGCAGCTGCGTGCTCAGGTGCTAATGTCCCTTTGGTAGAAGAGCACAGTGGTACAAAGCTGGAGGACATCCTTGCTCGTCTCCAGCTGCTTTCAATCATTCGGCACGGTAAATGTAATATAAGGTCCCGACAGGATGGCACTACTATTTATTTAAAGGTCTCCTATCATGCTATTTTTAGGCAATAGCATAGGTCTCAGATATATATAAAATATATAAAAAACATGTCTATGAAGTATTTTACTCAAAATACCAAACAGATCACCCATTATAGCCATGCCTCATATCCCTCTATTTCAAAAGTGCTGATTTGGGGTATAAAGCTTAACAAAAATCTCCCGCATGAGCTCAGCCCCCTCCTTTTTTTCTTTTTTTTTTGTTAAGCTTTATACCCCAAATCAGCACTTTTGAAATAGAGGGATATGAGGCATGGCTATAATGGGTGATCTGTTTGGTATTTTGAGTAAAATACTNAAATGGGTGGGCAGCGAAAATGATGAGATCACACGTAGATTTTGCAAAGAAATATACACTACAGTGACATCTGCTCGCTTTTTGGTAAGAAAATGTTCACTTCCGCCGATAAAAAAGGCCGTCGGCACGTGCCCCGCCGTGTTACGTAACATGGGCGAAACAAGGGGGCAGAGCTCGTCCGGTGTACACCGCTATTAATAAACATGGATCCCAGATGCCTAGCTTTCGACAAGAAGACACAGAAGAAGGTGAACATAAATATGGTCGAATGCAATTATTGACGACCACAACCTTCATAATTATGCGCCTTCGAGGCCGTCCAATGAGACCAGGAGCAGCCCAAGGATTATGAAGAGAATAACGGGCCATCGCGCGAGAGAAATTTGAGCTGGTGGTGTGAGGGGAGCATACCAGTTGCGAGAACGTGGGCCCAGCTATCTTGGCTGAGTGATCCGGCGTTAGGCTACAGTAATGTTAGCTAACGCCTCACATCACAACATTGTGAAGTTAGCCATCATATATCAGGCCTATAACTAAAGTAGCCAGTGGATAATATAGTCAACGTTACTCGGGCAGGACTGTTATACTGATCCATTAACGAAACTTAATGCCGCAAGCTATCAGCCATAGTCTCGCGTTACCTAAATGCCCTGAACTCCTGCATACTACGGTGCTGTGTACCGGGAGGGAACGAGCGCCGAGGATACCTGATTACTGACGATCTGGCGGCAGAAAGGTTGGTGGACCTCCGCTTGATATGCCTGTTGGAAATGCGCTTTGATGCGTAAAGCAGGCTGTTTAGTCGGGGAGGCGTGCCACAGCTGATTGCCAGCAGGTGAGCTTGGGAGTTTGAGCCGGGGAGTCCAGGAGTGACAATGCCACCACGACACACAAACAACACAGGACAGGGGGAAACAAACAAACAACAAAGGAGGGACGCTGGAGCAGTACAGCCACCACATCCGTTACCTAATGCAACCCACACTACGTCTTACGCCTGCCTCTGGTTCCGGGGAGGGGAGATTAGGAGGAGCAGAGCAGCGAAGGGGGGAAGAGAGAAGTAATACGGTTTGGCCTGATAAAGCTGTGGAGAGCTATGTGCTGCAGGCGGAGGGTGGATGCCACAAACGCCCCACCCAGGAACGAACGCTAGCTCCCGGGTCCTTTTTACTGTGGACGTCGATGTCCTGACAGGCTGCGATTGTTGCAACCTGCACAAAACACAATACTGCCACATGATTAACAAATGGGCTGAAATACAATGTAAAAAACTTACCGAAAAATACCAGGTTCACTAAAACAGCAACCGCCTCAACTCAACGCAACTACGTAAAACGTATACCCGCGGTCAGAGGAGTGGGAGATGTGTCCCGCTGTGCTGAGTAAGTATGGGACGCCGTTTGGAACGTATGACCTTTTTAAAAAAAAAAAAGCCTGTTCTTTACGCAAGGCAGAGCCCTCAAAAGTTGCCCTCCTTTCCCTCTGAATGTCGTGCCCTTAGTCTCGCTGAAACATATCAATCCTACATTTCAATTTTTTAATTTTGTAATTTCAAGCCCCAAGCTTTAAGCATAAATGGTAGGAAAAAAAAAAAACCTGCCCCAAGATGCCTCTTTTAAAGCCAAAAGCGCACTGGCTGTAGCGGAGGGTTAAGTAGTAACGTCAGTTTAATATGCTCGTGAAATTGCAACCAACTTTTTTCGGTTTCACCGCCCGTAGGCATTGATCTACGTGTCTGGTGATGCTGGACTCATATGACTCAAAGGACTCGTATGATCCGCGATCTCTTCAATTGACTGACTCATAAGACTCAGAGTTCTGTAAAAGGATCCGGCATGTTGCCGCATCTATTACCTGCTATCGCCCTAAATTATTTCCCTTCACTACTTTCCTCTCCTTCTTCTCTCTTGCCGCCGCTCTCATCTCCTTCTTCTGTGTTCTCTCCCTGTATCGCTCACTTGCTCTTCTTTCGCCCCCCGTCGGGCAGCGCGTTTAAATAGAATCGCCCGCTCAAAATTTGAAACTCCCTATTAATGTATTGGATTATAGGTCCGGTCCGTATAGGTCTGGATCCGGACCGCCGGGTTCCGCCTGCTTTACTGAAGGTGATGGTTTAGAGTCGATCCAGACGCAGACACAAACAGATGATTCCTGTCTTTTGCCTGCAGGTTTAGAATGAAGGTTATTTAGCTTTACCGGTACCAAACGGTTTTTAATTATTTACTGCTGTCAAAGGGTTGTGCGTATGAGCAATCTGCCGAGCTGGGTGGACAATTGTTATGGCCTCTTTCCTCCTGTGTCCTCGTCCTTTCCTGTCACCTGTCACCTTTTATACACCCGGCTGCCAGCTAAACCCCCGCCACCGAAGTGTCAAAAATTAGTATTGCATGTATATCATACTAAATAAAGGGTAATAAATCTTAAGACACTAGACAACACCCCGATAACATGCGGTCCTACAGGCCAGTGTTATCAGCTTGCAAGTGTGGTATAGTTAGTCAATAATGACGAATAACATCAATACATTTTGCAGGCTAATTATAATAAAAACGTAGCCCTCAAGTATTTCATGCAAACTTGATTGAAGCCGTGTGTGTGAGAGGCAGCCCACCGTGTGGGCCAGGTGTCCCGCTTTTGCGGGACTTACACACCGACAGCATTTTTATCATTGTGTCCCGCGGTCCCACAAGATTGGCAGTTCTATGTGCCGCATTTGGGAGTGACAGTCGCGCAGAAAGCCGGGCTCGGTTCCATTGACGGCCGGCCACCGCACCCTTTATTATTATATTTTGTTTAAAAGCATTCATGTAAAGTTGCGCTGATACCCCCCCCCCCCCCCCCGTTGACAGTTTCACAATGGCGCGTCCATAGTGTCTCCCCCCCCGCCGCCCCGTCCACCCACTAACAAAATCCCCACTGGGTGTTACCAGGAACTTGACCTCGCTTTACACCACAGTTTAAGCAGATAGTAGTCAAAGCCATCAGCAGCATTTAAATCTGCAACCATTTTGCATAAAGGATTATTCCTTATATTGATTGGATGATTCATGTGATTAATTGATTCTTTAATAATTGCCAAAAGAACCAATAATGAAAAAAAATCGTACACCAACTACACCTCTTAGTAACACCAGACCAATTTTGCATACAGGCTATTTCATGCCTCACACAGGACAAGTAACTTAGCAGATGTGTCACTGTTGCATGTCGTCCTCTTGAACGCTCCCTACTCCCTGTCTTCCTCCCCAGGTATTTCAACAGTGGCAGTGTTACTCTAGAATGTGACAAGGAGTTCTGGGATTTGAGGGACAGCGTGGTGCAGTGCGAGCTGCTCATCCTCCGACAGCTCAACTTCCACGTCTCCTTTGAACACCCTCACAAGGTAGGGGATGAGTGTGTTGGTGCACACGCCTGATTCCTGTTTTCAGTGTGGACCCCTGCTGTTGCAGCCTGATGTTGTCATAGTGTTTCAATTGTGTTTGTGATCAGAGGTGGGAAAAGTACTCAGTCCTGCATTTAAAATGTTCCTCAAGTAAAATTACAAAAGTATTCTCATCAAAATATAGTGAAAGTAGCGACAGTAGTCATTGTGCAGATTGGTCCATTTCAGAATAATATATATGATATGTTTTATAATGATTGATCATTAAAGTTTTCTCAAAGCTGGTAAAGGTGCAGCTAGTTTGAATTACTTTGTATACTAAAGGGTAGCTTGTGGATTTACTCCAGGTGGAACTAAAGTCTGATTTAACACTTGATTATATTTCACATCATTCATCCACATCTGTAAAGTAACTAAAGGCATTAAATACATTTAGTGGAGTAGAAGTACACCATGTACCTCTGAATTGTAGTGGGATAGAAGTACAAATGTGTACTTGAGTAAATCTACTTAGTAACTTTACACCACTGTTTGTGAGTGCAGTGTGATCTGGGCTGAATAAGTTAATTCAAATATGTGTTGCTCATGCTGTATTACTTGCCTTTGCTGATGTAAATCTTTAAGCTTTTCTCATTTCTGCATTTTATTTATTGACCTTGCTTTAGTGGTACAGCAAGTTTAAGTCAGGTATAAAGTGTTTAGTGCAGAGGAGTCCATTTAAGTATACCTGATTGGCTGATCACCCTTGCACACATTATTTATGTGTTGCCTAAACTAACTAGCACTGTGATGCTGCTGTATATTTTCTCTGCAGTATTTGCTCCACTACCTGATGTCTGTGAAGTCGCTGGTGAACCGCCACGCGTGGTCTCGAACCCCCGTTGCAGAGACTTCCTGGGCATTGCTTAGAGACTGTTACCATGGAGCCATGTGCATCCGCCACACACCACAACACATTGCCATAGCAACGTTGCACCTGGCTCTGGACAGCTATGGAGTGGAGCTGCCGGTCGGGGAGAGAGACTGGTGGCAGGTGGGTGTTTATGAAAAGTGCTGATAATTGCACACTGAACAGAGAGAAGTGATACAAAATGAAAAATGTCACACATTATCTCCTTGTATAACGCTGAAGAGCATGGAAACAACACATAAGCTGTAAACAACAAAAGCTGTTGTTATTTTTAGCAAAGTTAATGCAGTTTAAGCAGAAACAGTAGGCTAGCTAACAGTGGCAACAGTGTCACAAGTTAAAGCGTCAGTTGGAGTGATGCTCTGATGCAGTGGTGGAAATAAATTCACATTCTTTACTTGGGTTAAAGTACTAAAACCACACTGTAGGAATACTCATTCAAGTGAAACTACTCCATTGAGAATTAAGTACAAATAGGAAAATGTACTTAAAGTATTGGGAGTAATAGTACTCTTTATAATGTACTGTAATGTAGATGGGTTTAATTTATACAAAATAATCATATTTTAAAAGTTTTTCCTAGTTATTGTTATCTGTCAAAATCAGAATGTATAGAGTAACTAGTAAATAAAAAATAATGTGCTTCCAAAATATAGAAGTATAAAGTAATATAAAATGAAAACACTGGTAAGGTATAAGTACCTCAAATGTTTACTTAACTACAGTACTTGATTAAATATATTTAGTTACTTTCCAGCACTGTGAATTGGTGCCAGCCGGGGGGCAACTCCACGGCACTGCAGTGATCTCTTGATGCAGCTTAATACAACTTGTTGTAGCTAACAATGTGTGTTGGTGTCTTGCACTATGCTTCATAAAATAGACGTGTTACCGAACAAATGATGAGGAAGGAAGAGTTCAGGGATCTGTTTATTCCCAAGAGCTTGGTGTAGAGACACGTTGTAAACCCAGGAATGAGTCAGCATTTTAGCCCTTCCAGGCTGCCTCGATCTGGTCCAGTCCATTTTTTTGAGTTTTTGGTGAGATGCCTGAAATATGGTCTATACAAGCTGAAGAGATTTACTCTAGGACATAAATATGTCAGTTTATACCCCCCTGGTGAACCTCTCAAGCGTTTACATGTTTTAAGAACAGCGGTTGCTGACAAGAAGCTAAAAGAGAATAAAATATAATGACAATCAGCGTTATGACACCAAACATTAGCCATCTTTAGCTTAGCACTTTTGACCTGAAGTCATGCGACCATGCTTTTTGTTGAGGGAGCCATCGAGATTTCAACTTCCGCTGCACTATCGAATAAAGGCAAAAAAAGTCCCCCAAAATCTTCTCAAAAGATTAAGACACAACCTTTAAAGGGGAACTATTATGCAAAATGCACTTTTTGATGTCTTTTATACATAAATATGTATCAGAGAACTCACACAGTGTCAGAAAGTAAAACCCTCTCTCTTTTCCTCCGTACCCAAATCTCTAAAAACGGGGCTACAACGGAGCTGATCCAGATTTGCGTCCGATATGACGTAATATCTGAAATGTGGACCCACAGCCCTATCAGAAACGTTGCTATCAGAAACAATGCGCGACTGTTGTGGACGTAATATGGTCGGTGTTTACATTAGCATCGCTAACACTCAGAGCTAACCTGTACTGGAGAGCATGTGTGTGAAGAAGCAGGAAATAAAAAGGAACTCACCTTGTGGTATAACCGGCAAGAGAGAAAGCCTTTGAGCTCCATACTGTTTCAGAAATAATCCTTGATAATGGCGTTTGATCACGGCAGTATCTGCCGGTAGAATATCCCGCATGAGCAGGCATAAGCT